TGATATCCATTTTTTTCCATCGCGCACAGATTTTTCACAAAAGTCATAACGCAATACATAAAAGAAAGATCACAACATGTAGTTTTGAAACTAAAAGACGTAGATTTCACACCAAAAAATAAGGATGAATGAGGATGTATATTCATTTGACATCAATCATCTTCCCTTTTCTTGAGTTTGCTTGTATTTTTGTTAAAAAACATAATAATAAAAAATGTTCATTGTGGTAAACAAAATAATAATTTCAATCTAAGTAAGAGTTTTTTCTTCCAGATTTGTAAAAAAAAAATCCTTATGTGATAGAAAAAAATGAATATTATTTTCGAAATTTGCTGAATTATGGAAAATCCGTTATTAAAACTGAAACAACTTTTATGAATTTTCAATTCGCAGGCCTGTGTTATTGCACATTTGTGTGACATAAATAAACAAATTCAGTATATAGCTCTTGTTATCTTTATTGAGCCTTGTCTAAGTATGAATAAGGCATTGCTTAGACCATTAGTTGCCGTTAGCAAAACAGTATTCCAACATTCGAAAAATATTTTAGTACCTTATCAACCATCTTCATCATTGAAAGGAAGTAATTTTTAATTTTTTTAAGTGTCTATCAACACGATTTTGGAAATTTCACAACATAAAAATGTGAGAAATGGTAAATAAAATTGTTATTTTTTAATCAGATCTATATACTGCTCAATAAGTTATTTCACTGCAAGATGAAATAAAATCAAGGGATGACAGTTGCTAATATAGAAAGGGTAATATTCTTGTATTATTTATTTATTCCTCCTCTCGTAACTACCATGAAAAAAAATAGTTACAAATTATATATTGTACTACTAGCTACGGCTACTGGCACTGATGTAACTGTGTTCTAGGTAATTCAGTTTTATAGGGTGCACATGCAATAGTCAAATATTTCAGGTTTGTGCAACCACATGAAGACAAGTGAGCGAAATATTATTCTATTGTGCTTGATGACTACAAGACTTTAGCTATATGGTATGCTCTTAACTTTGTAGTAGTTACCTTTTTACGTATGTTTTTGTAAGTTGTTGCTGAGTTTAGAACTTGTCTCGGCCGATTTTTGAGTTTCTTCTTTTCATCATTTACTACCCATTCATTGTATATGGCCTGGCATGGCCAGGTGGTGAGGGTTCTTGCCTCGTAATCTGAATCCCCCTCCCGCCTAACATGCTCACCCTTTCAGTAATGGGGGCATTATAATGTGATGGTCAATCCCACTATTCATTGGTGAAAGAGTAGCCCAAGAGTTGGCTGTGGGTGGGGATGACTAGCTGCATTCCCTCTAGTCTTTCACTGCTAAATTAGGGATGGCTAGCACAGGTAGCCCTCGTGTAGCTCTGTGCAAAATTCCAAACAAACAAACAATCATTATGTGTTTCGAAAAGTTATTAAGTTTGATCAGTGCGAAAGGTTTTGTTACCCTAAACTAATGTTTTCTACACTAAGTTAAGCTTAAAGATTTTGGGCACCTTTTAAATTGAAACTTACTGATGATCACAACTTTGACATATTAGTAACAAATGTTTTGAAACTATTACAGGTTACTCGTGGGTACTCGTCAACGAGGAGTGTTAAGTCTCAGAATCAGTTCGAGCAACCGGCTTCAGGTGCTGCCTGATTTTGAACCCACTAAATTTTAAGAGTTAATTATAATCTTGGACTTGGCTAGTCAGTTCCGTCCTTCCAGTTGAACAGGTGTTTCTTTATGTGCATGTAGTACAGCAGCAAGTTATTAGTTTGGCACTTATTCTGCATGTGTATGTGTGTGTGGTGCAGAGAAAATGAACAACACCTCTAATTCAACAACTGAATCCAGTACAAACTGCTGTATATTGTACTATCTTTTACATATAGATATACAATACTTTGTGGCCCGGCATGGCCAGGTGGTTAGGACGCTCGACTCGCAATCTGAGGGTCGCGGGTTCGAATCCCCGTCCCACCAAACATGCTCGCCCTTTCAGCCGTGGGGGCATTATAATGTGATGGCCAATCCCACTATTCATTGGTAAAAGAGTAGCCCAAGAGTTGGCGGTGATGACTAGCTGCCCTCCCTCTAGTCTTACACTATTAAATTAGGGATGGCTAGTGCAGATAGCCCTCATGTAGCTTTGCACGAAATTCAAAAAAACCAACAAACAATACTTTGTTATAAAGAAGTTCTGAACAGAAGCAACATGAAGGATTTCCAATTAAACAAAAAATTAAAATATGCTCTAGCATGTGAAACATAAGTTTACAATACCACAGCATATGTTATTACTAGCCATTACTTACGGAAAGTTGATGTAAAAAGTGTATATATATATATATATATATATATATATATATATA